AAAATATTTTGCCATCATTTCTGATTTATACTCTATGCTTATCAAAATATGATCTCTAGCAAGCCATTCAAATGTATATCATATAAGGAACAGTGCCTAGCCAAAAGTAACTGGATATGCAAACAGAGCATGCAGAACAGGTGTGAACTAAGTTTGGGTGGTGTGGAAAGAAAATATAAAAATGTCATGGTTGATCACATACTCTTGTAGAAAAAAGTAATGTAACATTGGGTTGTATAAACAGAGAAATAGCCTCCAATAGATGCAAAGTTACCCAGCTCTGCCTAAGACTGTTGGGGAGTGAGCTGGAGCACGGTATCTAGTTTAGGGTACTCCACCTCAGGGCAAATGCAGACCAAAATGAGTGTAGAGAAGAGCGGTACGAATGATCAGAGGACTTGAAACTGTGATTAGTAGAAGGCCGTTTAGTCAGAGAAATGGGGACACATCATGCTCTGAATTCATAAATGGATGCTTTAAAGAAGGGAATTTTGTTCAAAAAGTCATGGTCTTCAATTGCAGCAAGATTTAGTGAGATTAGGAAAAGCTTTCTGGTGATAAAAATAGTGAAGAACTGGAATAGATTGCTTGAGGATGTGTGATGCCTCCATTGGCAGAGATCTTTAAGAACAGGTTACAGAAAAACGTGTCAGAAGTGGCACTGGTAGAGTCAACCCTGCCTTTTGGCAAATGGGTGGACCACATGATCTTTTCAGGTCCCTTTTCGCTTTACAGGTCTGTGATGCGCAGTCGCTACCTCATGCTGTGTTACTGCATCAAGGCGAGTAAACAGTCTTGTACTTGATGCTGAACCCTGGTGCCTCTGAAACAAAGCCAAATCTCTTGGGAAGCTGTATTAAGCACAATATTTTGATTATGACTAATGTATGTGGTGTTTTGGGGGCTTTTTTTTCTTCCAAAAGGTCAGTGGTTTAGTCTTTCAAAATCTTTCTGCTTATGACATTACACTAGTTCTTCTATTTCCTTTATGCTATCTATGAGAGGGGGATAGCAGCCAAAGAGAGTTAAATTTTTCTCTTGAGTTTAACTAACATTTTTGTTGCCCATGGCAGCACTGATGAGGATTGAGTTTGACAAATTAAAAACTGTTTCCAAGCCAGTTTTTTGTTAATTTGAGTATTTAAAAGTATTGTCCAGCATGTGCTTATCTTCACAACTCTTGCCCAGATATTTCCCTGTACAGCTTATACAATAGTATGTGTTTTTCCTTTCCTTCAAATAAGCACAGAAAATCCACATGGCTAAAACACGTTATAGGAAATGAAGCCAATCTGGCAGAAACAGTTTTGCATTTGTGCCCAGCAGTTTTATAAGTTCTTTGTAAGAAGGAATGGGGAAGAGGAAGGGAAATAGATATGTCAAAGCAAGAGCTGTATTTCTTTTGTTTTGAGGACTAAGGGCAGCTGAACAAACTGTTCTAAGGTTCATGCTAATGACACTCTTGAATTCAAGACTGGCACAATATTAGGTAGGATATTCTCTGGTTTTGCTAATGTGTGGTAACAGCCCATGAAAACCAGTCCTGTGCCTTTGGTAAGAATCAACAGCTGCGCACTCTTGCTAAGTAGCTGTCTTTGTTATCCATACAACAGACTGTCATGTTTTAGGGCGAGTGTGCCTGTTTTTAAACAGTAGTTTGACACATGAATAAACCCAGTACGTATAAAATTATTTCCCATTAACAGCTCCTGTTGATGTGATGTTTACCGGATCACTCTGCCCTTTTGTCCTAAAGGAAAAATCACTAATGTGATCAGCAGCCCTCAACTGGGGGATTAAGAATTGAGACAGTTTGAGCAGATGATTGAGAGGCCATATGCACCGTACAGAGGCTGAGGAAGTTTTCCTGCGTAGCATGAGGCACAACTAGATCCAGAAGAACCTCAGTCTCTTCTGAGGTGCGTGGAAGTTAAGATTACAGCCTGGAGATGACAGAATGGATTAGCAGACTTGGCCCAGCATCTCTCCAGCAGGGTAGTATGGCAGCATGTGAATGAGGAACAGGCTACTTAACTCCTGTCAGTTTGCAGGAAATGGTTCAGAGATGATCAAAAATTAAACACTTTCCAACTGATGGAATGGAAATAATGTGGAAATAAGCCTAGCTTGCTACAGGTTTAGCCTCTCTCAGCAAAGAAAGCTCTGTGCCTTACGAACTGTAAACCCAGATTACAAAAAAAATTAACATCCAACTGGTAAAAAAGATGCTTAGGTTAGAATAAAAAACCGAACCCAATTCATGCGCACTGTGTCTCAGTGCTGCTTCTTCCTTTAGTTTATATCCTTTGCAAATCCTTAAAAAGGCTTTTGGATTGTTGAGGAACCAGCCATCTAACAGGTAGTTTCCTTTTCCAGTTTGTCAACAAAACCATGTAGTTTTCATGTGGTAATTCAAAGACAGTTTCTCTGACAGGTGGAGAAAACTCAAAAGTCAGAAAATATTAACTACTGCTAACTAAGAAAAGGAAGAAGCAGGAGGAGAGGTTACGTGTAGTGGTGGTTTGTAGGTTCTCAGAATCAGATTTCTCCATCCGAATGCGCTCTCAAAACAGTTGTAGTGGAAATAGCAAAACCTCTCCAAAACTTATCTAACTCCCCGATGTGTATCCCAGCACAGTCAGCTTAGAAAATAGCAGGGAAAGTCAATCAGAATTTCTTTTATCCCAAAGCCAATCTTAATAGCTTCTAAGTGTAGTCTGATTCCTAACTAAGCAAAAGATGGGAACAAATAAATACTTCAGGATTTGTTTGTTTTGTGTTATTTGGAAGATTGTTCCTATCCTCTTATTGGCAGTGAATCAGAGACATGCTTGCAGGATTATTATTAATCTCTTCTTAGTACAGCTGGTACTACTGTTATTAGGTAATTTGATTGATGCTTCCCATTCTTGTGCAGGCATTGGTAACTGGAATCTAAAGCTGCTCTACCTGTTGAGAACTGTGGAAGTGTTTGAAGTTATGTCTTGTGTAAAGTTCATTTTCTTCCTCTTGTTTTTTCATACTTTCCCTAAATCATTAGGGTTTTGCCCACCAATGCACAAAAGATTTAATGAAATTTTGGAACTGACTCAGTACAGGACCTGAAAGTTTTTCACATATGGGATAAATAAGTGTCATAATGTTGAGGTGTCTGCCTGAAATCTCAAGTCTGTTATTTATATTATGCCCCAAAGGCTCCAGACTGTTTGGCAAGAAATTAAAAAAAAAAAGAAAAAAGAGCATGCTGCTGCAGAAGACATTAATTGGGGAAAAAAAATCAACTGAACAAAAAGGCCAGGATAATTCATGAAAGGTGGTTTTGTGTTCTTAATATGCTGGTTTTCACATTACAGCTTTGTATGCCCTACAAAAATAACTAAGTACTGACACTGGGTGCCACTGATGTGAGCAGATGAAAGCAATTTAACTGCAAGTGTTGACCAAGATGAATGGTATGCAATAGTGTTTCAGAACTTGTTAAAAGAACCTACACTTAAGCAGAGACTAAGATGGAGAAGAACCTCAGACAGAGGTCATGATGCCTCTAAAACTTAAAAAAAAAATAAAATCTGTAAAGAGCAGAAGGACCCAAAGTAGAGAGAATTTATTTCTTCTAAGAGGGTAGAAAGTGAGTTTGGAAAACCCATTCCACTCTCCCAGCAGCGGTGAGCTGGAAATCTGTATGAAAGGGAAGGCACAAATTCCTTGTACCATCTGTCCTCCCACCTCCCAAGAAAGAAAAAGCCTGCTATCCAAAGCATGGGGTCTAATCCACACATGGCTACTTACACATTAAAACATTGTACTTTGACCTTCATAAAGGTTTAGCGAGTGAGGCATGATAGTATCTGTCCTTGCAAACCCTTCAGAACAGGACAAAACAGGGGCAAGGCTGTGTGTGATTTAATAGGCAAAGACACTAACTTGTGGGGTTTTTCTCCTGTCTGCAGCTAAGCGGAGATTAACATGACCAAAACTGTTTATTTTGGAAAGAAGAGTACAGGAGGGGAATTCAGCACAGCAGAGAGAAGACGAGTTAGATACTGCTATTTTCACTAAAAGAACAATGAATCTCTAACACAACTGAAGACAACAAGCTTAATTTGACAAAACATTTCTAATGTATTGCCCACAAGAATTAATGGGAAAGCAAAAATTATTTTAATATGTTTCCTTAATATTTGCAATTGCAATACCTGAGCTATCCTTGAGATGGTGCAAAAGACATGCTGCTGGCTGACTGCTGCTCTCATTAAGGGACCAGAAGACAGAAAAAGGAAAGTGCTAATTATATCCCTATGCTTTTCAGTTTTAAGAGTTTGTTTTCTTTTCAATTGTTTGGAACAAGTCTCTGAAAACTGGCAACCCCTTACAGCAAAAGTGCTGTTGCTTTAATAATTAGCTATTCTTATTTGTCCCCATTCTCGTTTTCCACTCCCCCCCCCCCCCAATCTGCCACCTAAACTATTTTGTTGACCTGTGATTTATGACTTCTTACAAACAAATTGTAAAGTCTAGGAATGAAGAAATCCTGGATGAAAGAAGCTGGAAAAAAAAGCATGTGTCAGATTTTGAGTGAGATATTTTGAGTAGTAGTAAGAAAAAAGGAAATTACTTGTTGAGCTTACTGAAGCAGCGACACGCTTTTAAAGAACTTGTGCTTAATGCTTTAAAACAAAACTAAACCTTATTTCTTTATTAAAATAATGTAAATATTCAGCAATAGCAATTATTCTTTCCAAGCCCTTTTACTGTGTTAATACCCCAGTCCTTGCTATCTTTCTGTAATCTACAGACCCACCTGCAAGCTTGTAATTTACTGACTCCCTCAAAACTTCCGTCCCGTTTGTTGCCTCCATCATCATCACCATCCTGTTATTTACAGCTGTAATAACAGCCAGCAAAATTGTCCCTTACCAGAAAAGCTTCCCTCCTTCTCACTCTGCCTTCATTGGATCCTGCTCTTTTGAACTGATCAGAACAGACAAATGTAGCCACCCACCTCTAGGAGGAAAACTGAGCTGCAGCCCTCGTGAAACATAAAGTTTATTTGACTAAAGTGACGCAAAAATTCTTGAAGAGCTCTTTGGCAGCAGATTATCTGGAAATCAGACCATGTGAGGGGGATTGGTGTACAAAAACCTCACCAAGATGCTGAGTTGCCCACAGGCTGACTTCCCGAGACTCTGAAGTAAATGTGGGTGAAGGTTACTCGAGCTTGGATAACACCAAGGAAAGCGCTTCAAACCCATCTGAAAGACAGGTACTTTATAATTTTGTTTTTAACACTCTGCTATCTAAGGTACTTTATGAAATTCAGACAGACTCCTAGACGCTGTCTTCAGAGCCTACCTTCTGAAGCAAGCAGATACTAGAGTTTCATTAACTTTCACTCCTCATTGCCTCTTTCCACTTTGGTTATAAAATCTGAAACACTAATGACAGTCTACAATATGTATAATACCTTTTGTTTCATTTTAAATTAACTTTTAATGTTCTAGAGTAATTTCTAAAACATTGGGACAGTGTACATCTAACAAAGCTCTGGGGGGAAAAAGATACATTGATTTTTGGTGAAAGTTTGCTTTGATTTTTTTTTTTTAAACCTTTTATGCTTTTTCTTGCTTTTTTGATGTTACATGCTCTACTCCATCTTGTTCAGGCACTTGTCCAGCAGTTATGAATGTTGGGAGTCAAATGCCTGTAGCAGAACATGTTACGACAATCTGAAATTCAGCAGTCCACGTAATTGCATTATGAATGTAAAGTTTATTTAAAATTTACAAAAAAGCATTAAACTATAAGGAAAAATACAGGAAAGAAGCAGAATCTGAAGGAAAAAAAAATCAATGCAAGCTGTTATTTATTTTAAAAGAGTAAAGTAAGCTTTACTAACCATGTTAAGTTATATTTTTAAAAGGTAAACTGTTCCAGCACAGTAAATTATCTAACTGAATGGGACAGATTTATTGTAAGTAATAAATCTGAAGAGTATGTCATAGGTATATTTATAGTCAATCATGTTTACTGCTGAAATCAACTGGCTTGCTGTGTTAGTTTGCTAAGTAATATGGAAGTTTAAGTGAGGAATGCAATGTAACTGAATATATAAATAGTCATGGAAAATATGTTTTGATGTATTAAGAAAGCCTGGGGAGAAAAGGATTGTGCATTTAATGGATTTGGATTCTTGAAAACGTTGTGGAATTTTTTTAATGTGGCTTGTTAGCTGTCAGGCACTTTACCAGGGAAGGTCTCATACACTTAGGCTTCATCTTCTGGTGCTTTTGATGAATGAATTGACTGTAATTTTCTTGGAGAGTACTTTGTAAACTTGGAATATAGCAAATGACTGTTGTGGGTCGATTTTCTGATTGGACAGGGTGTGATGAATTTCAAATGGATATATAAATCAAGAAAAACTGCCCCCAAACTGGAATTTAATAAAACCCCTAAATTATTCCCACACATGGAAATGTGCAGTGTATTTAAGCTCTTTCCTGCTTTCCTTCATGGAAATATAAACCGCCGAGTTTTCATTAGGAACAGTATTAAGAGCCTAAAAAAAAAAGTTCGTTCTGTATCCCGGTGTCCTTTCTGATCCTAATGTTTTAACTCTTTTCCAAAACCGTGTATTTGCAGCTCTGTTGATCTGGCAATCTGTATCTTATAGAACTTATACAAAATAATGAAGCCTGTTTGTGGGATAAGTGTTTCATAAAGAACTTAAGTAGAACTTGGAGCCTGGATAAAGGGGCTGTAATTTGGAGATAGCCATTAATAAGCCTCCTTCAAAGAAACATCATCTGGAAACAATGGTGACTGTTTCTTTACTTTCTTTATGTAAAAACATCACAAACATAACCATATACATGCTGGCATATATGTGCAGCCAGTCTTTGACTTGAATTTGCAAACAGGTCTTTTACTTGAAACACCGTGCCCATTAATTTGCCAGTGCAGAGTTATATTAAGGCACAGCGCTCTACTTGGTGGTATTTGCTGTGTTATGACTCTTCCTTCAAGTTTATAAAAATAATTTGAGGAAGAATACAAAAGGAGTATCATTCCTTCTAAGCTTATCTGTTTCCTTGCACTACATATGGACACTCTCAAGCCATAAAACGCATTTTCTCCCCCCTTCCTCCGTTCTTTAAGCGACTGTCATAAATTTGGCAGCATTCCCACTACAATGCAATATCTGTCTTCTCAACAAATTTTTAAAGGTAAAATCTCTCTTTCCTGCTAACTTTTTAATTTCAGACTCAAGCACGGACAAGATTATGACATAAAACTTACACTACAGGTTTATATTCGCCCAATACTATTGCTTTCAGAAGCACTATTTTCACATCTTACCTATATTTAGCCTTATCTGGGAATACATGAGTTAATTGGAGAGAGCTCACTGCTTATGCCATTCTCACTTTGGTAAGTAGCCTTTTATTCTCCCAGAAGGGCCATTGTCTCAGTGGGACTACTTGTCCAGTACAGTTCTACTCTGTTTTAGTAAGAATGTGAGCAAGCCCTTGGAGACCTGCAATTATTCATATACAGGATCCATTTTGTCATCTACATGCTGCAAGTTTCTTACAAAATACTCACAAATTACCAGTAATGTGCAGAAGTACCCAATCCAGTTATATTTAAAATCACTGGCACTGGGATCAGACCTGCTATGTGTGGAAATAATTTACTGGACCTATTAATTTCAGTGGGGTTTGATCACTCCTTATCAAAAGTCAGTTTTGATTCTCTTAAACTAGACTAGAGAAGCATAGCTAAAAAAAATCCTGAAGAAATCAGTTTTCAGTTGTTGAGGGGTGGTCTAGATATCAGTTTATATCTGCTTTGTACCTAATACTTCTGATTCTGTGGTTACCAGCAGCCCTACCAAAGCTGGGACTCTGTATCTTTCTATGTCTTTATGAATATCAGTTTTTGAAATCTGAAATACAATCTGTCACACTTGCTATCAGCTCACCTGATGGAAACAAGCTAAAAGAAAAGGATATTCTAGGTACTAATTTGTTAATGAAATCAGTGTACGTGAACACAGTCAAAAGCAAAAGGGATTAATTTTTTGCATTATGAACTCTAAATATGACTCATATTTGACAAACAGCAGGTAAAATTCATCATAATCTAGTGCAATCTAGTTTCAAGATTTAACTGGCTGAAATTTTTATTTTCTAACAACTCCCCACAGTATGGCAGCATCTGAGCTATCCCACAATAACTTTGATTAAAAGGTTACTGCTGGCTTGTGTGAAATCAGAGGAAAAATATGAAGCCTCTATACTCCTTCACACCACACATGCAGCAAAACAGGAACGCACTAGCCCACAAAATGCTGCCAAAAGGAATAATCTTTACGAGGTTCTCACTGTCATCCAGGTCGCGTACCTCCACTCCTGCGCAAAAGGCAAGACTAGGACTGTGTGAGGAGATACAGGTGAAGATCAGAAATGTTTACTGCTGTGTTTATCAGAGTCCAGTACCTGGAAACACCCAGGTACGTGGCTGTCGGAGGGTCATGGTTGATACTGTGGCTCAGAGGTGAGAACAGTACCTACAGATAAAAAACACAGCTTTTTCCTGCGTGGGATATGTGATTTCTATCTTGTCATACAAACTTCTCGCTTGATTTTCTAGATAAAAGTAATTTCCTTGGACTCTTTCCATTTACATGCAACAGCCTGTGTGAACTGCATCTTTATTGCAAGGTGTAATATGCAGTCAAGCAGCTACATAATTTTAACAGTCTTAAATACGTTGTGATAAAAGTGAGATTTAGGTCAAGTTAACAGAAATCATCGTAATGTTTATTTCTGTTTGCCAACACTGTAGGCTAACTTTTTGTCTTAAGAGTTCGAAGTACTTTAATTCTTTGCAAGTGCTAGCATGTAAATGGACAGACGTAAGGCAGATGGAGGAGCAGCGTGAGTGATAGCGGTAATGTGAGTTTTGCTACAGGAATGCAGCTGTAACCCAGTGAGTGGCTGGTACTCCAGCAAGCATTGGTTTATGAAATTAGCACATGAAAAAAGAACATAATTTGTATGAAATGAAATATATGCAAATATACAAATTTTGCAGCTTTGCAGCTTAAAATGTATTTGATCATTTGGACACAAGTAATGACTTCTGTAGTCATGCACAGTGAGGCTGAACAAGCCCTTGTGCTGAGGAATTCAGGAAGTCGGTGCTGCCCCACCTCAAATAAAGTAATCTCCAGGTGACTTGAAGCATTAAGATTTGCCTCCCTTGAAGCATCTGGTATTTGCTGCACCTCAACCTAATTGTTTTAATATCCTAGACGCACTAAAAGTCAATCCCCTCCTTTAAAAAAATACAGAGAACAAGAAAATCGTTTTGTTTTAAAGTGCTGGAAAGATTTGTTTTACTAGATGGCAGAGCATTAAAGGAAAGGGATTCCCACACTGCCACGAGAGGTCACTGCATGCCTCAAGAAATAAACAAGGCGATGATACATCAGTTGTGCAGCTGCCTGCTCAGGAAGGAACCAGACCCCAGGACAGGGATGATCCTTGAGGATTGCTTTGATAGTGGCAAAGGAGTTGGGTTTGCGCATCAAGGGACTTACAGGCCTTTTACATCTACAGTGCTGGTTCAAATTTAGCTCTGTGTGGGAGTAACAAAAAATTATAATTTAATTAATATTTGGCTTATGTGAACTGTGTTGGTGGCTTCAGCCAGGCTCGTAGAAACACATGTCTTCAATTATCCATCCTAGTGTTTTCAACAAACAAGCAAAGCGGGGAATAGTTGTGGAGGACACGCTGCCTTGTTCCAGGGTCCTTCTCCGGAGCAGAGCTGAGGGTCACTCCTCTTTAGTCACTCTTTGTGTAAGGAGGAGTGCAATTTACAGGGCTAGTAGCATGGCACCTTTCACATGCTCCTAGACAGCACAGCATTATGGAGATGAAAACTGCCCTTTAGAATAATCTCTGTTCAGAGCTACCGGAGAGAGAAAAGGCGCAGATGCTTAGTGCTTCTCAAAGGAGCAAAGTCATGTCTACAAAATACGGATCAAAACAAAATGAAGGCAGAGCTATCTTTCTTCTTTTTTTTTTTTTCTTTATTCTGTAACTAATTATGTTGGTGATAAGAAGGCAATGTGTATTTATGTAAAAGCAACCTTTGCAACAGCTCAGATTGAAAATAGGTAATAAACTGCCATTTCTTGTATCATTCACTATTGTCATTCTAGCACCTGTAACTACTGAGAGATCGGTGCACAAAGAGGCCTTGGTGGGCAAAATCCTTCACTATAGTGTAATTTTCCCCTGGATGTCTTCCCTAGTGGTCCTAGCATACTTCCCAACCCCAAAAGCTCTAGTTCTGTAGCTGGTTACACTGTTTGTCGCAGTTACAATTCCTTCAGATATTTTTTTCTTGAATTGTTAACAAGAGGGTGGAAAAAGTACATTCTCCCACAGTTTTTTACAGTGTAATGAAATCTTCTGATTCTGTAACTATGTTGTTTTAATGTGCCAACTATGCCACTGTGAACACCACCGCACAGCTGTAGAGTCCATCACTCCAGAGATTTCCCAGGGTAGCTGACGAGCTGTCATTCTCTTTCAAAAAGGAACAGTTCAAATTCCAGCTGAAGCCCCTGAAAGTTCACAAATCATTTTGCATATTTGAGGCTCAAACTACTGAAAATTCTACAAAAATATTTCAAATAATGTGATATTTCTTTCCTGTGGTCTGCAGAAGACCAGAAGGAGCTTAGATCTGGATAAGACAACTACCTTGATTGTCACAGATCTGGGAAAACAACAAGAAATTCAATGACCTTTCCTCAGTGAAGAAAGTGCCAAGAAGTATCTATGTGCAGTAAGAGTTTAAGTCTCAGGTATGGAAAATTCAGTCTCATGAGATAATGCAGTTAAATCAACATCCTTTACTGCTTTCCCATTTCTGAGTAAGAGGTGTAAAGTCCAGAAGGGCTCAGGTTACTCTTCCATATTCCTATCTTACATTTAACATGCTCTATACAAGGGGAGCATTGGCTGTGGCCTTTCCTAGGATTTTTATGTTGCCACAAGTGGTGGTAGGATTGTTTTCATCTCCATAAGCTCTTTTGGGACATTTGGAAGGTTTCGGACTCCAAAGACATTCAGGTTTTATAGTCTTGCAGGTAAAACAGAAACTCCTGTTCTTTCCCATAGTATTCTGGAATGCTGAAGATGTTTCAGTCTTTGTGGATGATTAACTAAAGGTAGCAAAGTACTGCTCTTCTGAGAATTCAGCATTAATGATGCACTGCTTGCTATATGGTGAAAAGAACATTATCTGGGTATAAACAGAATGTAAGCCTGAAGAACTAGAGATTTCTGAAAGTTATAAACAACTTCAAGGGACTTTTATCTCGAGAACATCCTCCTGTTTGCTCTGGAGCTCAATAACTTTCGTTGTCTTTATGCTTGCACTGATAAATGTTTAGGAAGAGGTTTAACAAACTGTCTTTGCACAAGGCTGAAAGCTGGGAAAAACTTGAGTTTTAAGAGCTCTGGCAATGAGTAAATTCTAGTGATGAGAAAAATAATCTCTTCTGCTTTAGTTTTTTCAACAGTTAAAAGTGAAATAATGCTTATTCTTCTGCTAGGATGTGACAATGATATTTACTGTGGTAAAATACTTTGAAAAGGAAAAATTGGATGTAATTATAATAATTTAATCTGGAGTGGCATCCTGTAGATTGTGTAACACTTTGCTAGCTATAAAGCAAGGTTACTACCCCAGGGAATTTACAGCACAGAGGATCAGCTCCTATTTCAAGATTTTGTTGAGTAAAGGCAGCTGGGCATTTACATTACCTGAACAAATGACCCACTGAATCACAATTCTTTTTGTTCTGAAGGAAAAGTTAATTGTTTTATACCTTTTCTTTATTTTGGGATGGTTTACTTCCCCTGGATTACACTTCAGGCACATATAAAGAGGACAGGTAAAGCCAGGGATTTTCCCAGTACCTGGATTTTTGCTGGTGGTGGACAGTAACACAGGAGTAGTGCCCACTACCCTTCCTGGGGCTGAAACTACCATGTTAGCAGATGCAAGCAGAATGAAAGATGCCGTTATTTCCCCAACGAGTTAAATAAAACTGGGGACGCGTTTTTGTCCTTTAGACCCATATGTTAGTTCTTACTCAAAACAATCAAATTGAAGTTTCCTCATCTTTTTTTCCTTGTTATCAGTGTTGACTTAGCCTCAAAAGTTAGTTGATGCAAACCACTGAGATTTAAATACTTTTCGAACCTTTCATTAAGCCTTCTAGGTCTGCTGCTAAACATAGGAGACACTCTGGGATTTGTGAAGAAAGGTGGTCATGAAATGTAGTTTGTATACCCATTGTTATCTCATATTTGTTGAATTAATTCTTTTCCCTTCATACTGGGTGAATCTAGAAATTGCCAGTAGAAGTCACAGGATGAACTGAAAATGAAAATACAAGCCACACTAAACTCTGCCCTCATTTTTGCAAACTGGGAGTCCCACAACCTCCCTGGTTGTGAAACCAGTGTTCAGAGGGAGAACGTGGTACCAGAAGACAGCAGGACTGTGTCTGCCTGTGAGTTGTCCAGCAACGCACAAAGTCCAGCAAATCTGCCTGAGAGGTTATAAGCCAGGTACACTGAGTTCTGCTGTAGAAGAGGATGATTGCTTCCTTCCTTTCTCTGTACAAAATCCTGAATGGATTATCTGCTAAATGATTCACATTGCATGCTGTCATGGTTAATTACTTCCAAAACTATTCTAATCACAGAATGTGTCAGTTCTAACTTGAAAGTTACCAGCATCAGTACACCCTGTCATGGATTTTTAACTATTTGTAATTTCTTAGATGGTGTTTGTGCCTTCAATCTGATGGATTTAAATATGGAAGAGGAAATCTAAAAGTGCTGGGAATAAAAGTGTGGGAAGACAAGCCACAAGGGGACTCTGTGCTGCTGTCCGTCTGCAAGTGATCAGAACAAATCTCGGAAAAAATGGAAAAAAAGGCAACAAGCAATGAGACTGAGCCGCTGACTTCCAAGAAAGATGTCTCAGACTGTAATGAAGGAGAAGATTGTAAAGAGAACGGACTTCTGGTCAGGAACCCTAAATCTGCCCTACGGCTAGTGGAGGATGGCAATAAAGTCCATCCCAGCCAGGGAGATAAAGGGGAGGCAGCTCAGATCTCAAATGGTTATTCAGGGGTTCAGGGCTCTGTTCCCTGCAATGGAATGGGAGAGGTGGAAGACGCCCAGTGCACTGCCCCAGCAGCCACAACCACCACTACAACCACCACTTCTACCACCTGCGGAGCAGAAGGCCAGCAGCAGCTGATGGAGCTAGAAGACAGAGAGACCTGGAGTAAAAAAATTGACTTTCTACTCTCTGTCATTGGATATGCAGTGGATCTGGGAAATGTGTGGAGATTTCCTTATATATGCTATCAAAATGGAGGAGGTCAGTGACTAGTTCTGTATGCTGTTCCTTAATGCTGAACTTCCTTGCTTATGAATGGATGATTTAGTGGCTTATTTTAATATCATATATAACAAATGACCAAGGGGAAATTACTTACTTTTCAAGCAGACTGGAAAACCTAAATACTGGGATAGGATAACTAGACACATTAAGATGGAAGAAAAACTATTTAGCAAGATCTAAAAAATCAGTACAACTAGAAGCTGAGAGCCAGTTAGGTGCAGAACCACCTTCCAAGAGAAAAGACTGAATCCCTGTCCCAAGGAGTATTTTAAAATCAGATAAACCAACATGTCAAAACCAACTCATCAGGAATGCTAGCTCTTAGAGTCACTGACATATCAGCCAAAATATAAATCTAATCAAGGAGACCCTGGAAAGGACTTTTGTCTCCCTGATGTAACAAAGGCATTTTACTGAAGAAGTTAACGATTTTATCTGTAGCCCATCTCACAATTGCATCCACTGCAGCCAGTACAGTCTTGATGAATCCTATGTCTACTTGTTACAGAACATGAGAAGTTTGGCCTGAGTCTTGCTTCCTATTCACACTGCAAAGTAGATACTCTTACGATCAGTGTGGCACACTGGCTAGGGAGGGAATATGCATTTTCCCTGTGGGATAAAAGGAACTGTTGTTTATGGAGTGCTGGTACTGTTGGAAGAGAAGTCCTATGAAGAGTTACAATCATCTGCTTTTTTTCTTGCAGGAGCATTCCTCATTCCTTACACAATTATGGCCATCTTTGGAGGGATTCCTCTCTTCTATATGGAACTAGCACTAGGACAGTACCACAGGAATGGGTGTATTTCAATTTGGAGAAAAATATGTCCTATATTCAAAGGTAAAGAAGGGAAATGGAAAATTCCTAGGAACTTTCTGAATAACTGGAAGATTTTCCTATAAAGGTGAAATTTCTGAAAATAATATGAAAATCTCATAAAACAAAGTGTGCTGGTTTTGGCTGGGATAGAGTTAATTTTCTTCATAGTGGCTAGTATGAGGCTAAACCACGACACAAAGTAAGGCTTGTTCTACACAAGATTTTGGCTTTACAAAGAACGCTTTCATAAAACTTTATGTACACCTGCAGGTGTGTGTGTGTACTCTCATACACACGTATGATGTGCAACTCTCAAATTGATTAGATAGAGGCCAGTCCACTTCCTCTGACCCAAGCCTGAAAATATAAAAAACCAACCAAACAAAACAAAAATGTAATTAATAAAGTAAGTGCAACATTACTGAATCCAAGGCAAAATTATAAACCAGGAAAGAATAAAGAGCAACTATTTCTATTACAATGAAATGATTCCCCATCTTCAGCCTGGCCTGTCAATTGCTATCCTACAACAGAGCCTTCTAGAGTAAAAGGACCTGTTCTGTATGCTTGTTTACTCTTGCTCCCAGTGTTATAGCTCTGGTCTTGTCTTTTTTATTTACTGAGTGCAAGATGCCTATTTCTAAGTTCCAGGAATTTAGCAACACATGAAAAAAACTATATAAGCATGTTCTGTCTTGATTAAGGATGCTTTCTTGGAATCAGACCCTGAGTGTTTCCGAAGCCACAAGAAATTCCAGTGTTGTAAACACTTGAGAGGGTATGTGTACCTCCTGCAGAGCTGCTTTAGACGGTTACTAATTGTAGTTGATGTGATAACCAATTCCTTACTTTTTTTTTTGGCCTAAAACTTATACTCACTTCATGTAATTATTTCCTGCCTTACTAGGAATTGGCTTTGCCATCTGTATAATAGATCTTTATGTAGCCTCCTACTACAACACCATTATGGCCTGGGCCTTTTACTACCTCATATCCTCCTTCACGGCGGAGCTGCCATGGACCAGCTGCACAAATGCTTGGAACACAGGCAACTGCACTAACTACTTCAGCAAGGACAATGTCAGCTGGTCCCTGCACTCCATCTCTCCCGCAGAAGAATTTTATACGTAAGTGCATGTAAGTGAGGACAGTAATGGACAGAATGGTGGAACATGTAGCAAGCTTTTCTCTGCAGGGGGAGCAGGGCTGTTTATTAGTGGTACCCTTTTCTGAACTATTCAAATAACTGAATACTTGTAGGTGTATGTAAGCTTAGGGTGTACGGGACAGTACTCTATATTTTAGATCAGAGGTTCCCAACCGCTGTCAGCTGTCATCACTTATCATCACTGGTGTACCATTAATATCAAACTCTTAATTAAAAAAAATCCAAAATTACATGAATCTGAAGGCTACTTATCAAGGCCTCAGGACTACTTGTAATGCTTAGACCACAGTATGGGACTGTTCAAAGTATACTTAACAAAAGCATTTGTTAAAAAAATACCTATACTGTGTTTTTCTTTCCTCTTTCAGCCGCCAAGTTCTACAGGTGCACAGGTCCAATGGGCTGGATGACCTGGGGGGCATTAGCTGGCAATTGACCCTCTGTTTATTGTTAATCTTCACCATTGTATACTTCAGCATCTGGAAAGGGGTCAAAACATCTGGCAAGGTGAATGCAAAAGCAAGACAAATCAACTTGGTACAGTATAGTCTAGCAGCAGTTCTAAATGAGCCAATTAACTTGACAGAGAATTATCTCAGATTGTCTTCATGACAGGGATTATAGGCTCATGTATTTGGGAAGCACTTACTGTAGTGGCTGCCACTGTCAGCCAAATAATATGTAACAACAGTAAGTTATGCCACTGTTCTCTGGACAACAACCCTGCCAAGAGAAAATGTGGGTATAGATGTGCAAACTGCCTGTTTACAGACATTCTGAGAAGTTCACATGAAGATGTTATAAATGCTAAGAGCTACAGTAAGAATAACTCATTATCACCTGTTAACTTTCTACCCATGGCAAATGCTGTCTTGCTGTTTTCCCTCACAGGTGGTATGGGTGACTGCCACATTCCCTTACGTCATACTCTTTATCCTGCTAGTGAGAGGTGCGACTTTGCCTGGGGCTTGGAGAGGTGTCCTCTACTACTTAAAACCTGACTGGCAGAAACTCCTGGCCACTGAGGTAAAAAAACATGACAAAAGGGTAGAGACTTGCTTTTAGCCTATCAGCCTGTACATACTTCAATGTCTATTTTCAGCATAGAGCATGATTAAACAGATGTCTTAGCATAGACTTAAAAGCCTGACTTCATGCTCTTGTTGAAACAGTCACGCTATTCTTTCCATAATTATAAAGATTTTTTTAAAGATTACGAGTCCACCATGAATTTAGCTTGAACTAATATTAGGGTTCCCATACAGCAGTTGAATAGAATTAGTGATATGATTAGAAAGAAAACAAGTGACCCAACAGTTTTTTGCCAGGAAAATGGTGAACAGCCTGACATTGAGTGAGAAGCTATGATAGCTGCTATACTGCAACAAAATCCTTTACCTATGACAGTCACACTGAGCAAACTAAATTTACTAAGCCCTAACAACTGGTCTAGCTGCAGGTTTTTTGGCTGTGAGGGGATCATTACACACTTGGGCAGGCTTTTCCACAGCCCAACGGTGTTCACAGTTGCCCGTATTTAAGTAATGCAGGTTACTAGAGTTGAAACTTCAGACCTCCATCCTGTGACAAGCTTTGGCAGATAAGCCCAAGGATACTCTCTGTAGCCACCAGCTAAAATGTGACTCAGTAATCAAGTGCATGTGGAGAAGGAATAAGTAAGTTAGGCCTGCATACACCACCAATATTGGAAAAGAAAGGAGGAATGAGGACAAGACTGAGCTAAACAACAAACCCGAGACATTCCAGTATCTGATTCAGCTTTGAACTCTGTGGATGACAAGTAGTCCATCAGGTCAAGGCTGCACTTACTTCTCTGCCTATGAAAGTGTCTAGTGAGGAGGGTGATGGAAAAAACCCAAAGCAATAAATACTACAAATACAAAGATTAAAAATTCTAATGTTTGCAAGTCTGCTGCTGCCCAGCTGATATGGAGAGTTCTGAATGAAGAGGAAATGAAAAGACACCAGTCTCTGATAAAGCAGCATCTCCAATAAGGGACCACATCTTCTGAAAAAGCAATAAAGGGCATTGATATTGTATTGGATGTATCTGAAGTGAGGACAGCAGATTGCAATCTGTGTGCTGGACGATGACAGAGCTCTGTCTGTGGATGATACAGGATGGCCTCACACGATGGAAGAGAATATTAGAAATGAGTTGTAATGAACTCCATGTTTCAATCAAAAGAGGATAAATGAATGAGGACTTTCACCTTCAGAAAGAGAAATGATACTGTACTTCACAAACGCTACTCATTAAGGCTGTGGCCACTTCAGCAGGCTTTTCATAACAAGATCACGCTTGCATCTGTCATGGCTACAACAAAGCTGAATCGAGTCCTAAGGACTAGAACTGCATCTACACTGTCAAATATATTTCCATAAATCTAGGAAAAATCTGGGCAGTGATCATCTACTACTTAGCCTGGAGGACACACAGCCAAACATAGGACTATTCCACAGCACACAGAGTTTGGAGGAAGATGGGCCAAACCCACTGCAAAATCATGGCTAGAAAGTTCCCTATACATTGCAAAACTTGTGTTAAACTGATTACAGGCAAATCACTGTGAATTAATCTAAGATGCTGTCAGAAGTGAAACTGCCAGTGAGTACTTGAAACAGTGTAAAGAGATACAATAAGCACTGCATAGGCACTGAAATTATAGTGGATATTTACAACTCTCACAGATCTACAATAAATACTCATATTTCAACATGCTCTCTTAACAAAATGTTTGTTAGCCCAGGACTAGGATATAGGCAGACTAGTGAAACAGGGTTTTGTAGGCCTAGGCGATATTCTGTATATGCCAAACTCACTCAATCTGTTTCATGTCATTTTTTCTTGATTTTCAATATTTTTCAGGTTTGGGTGGATGCAGCAGCTCAGATTTTTTTCTCCCTTGGTCCAGGTTTTGGTGTCCTATTGGCTTATGCCAGCTACAACAAATTCCATAACAACTGCTACCAGTGAGTTCTACCTTATTCTATAAGTAAAATTGAGTTGTTAAAATATAACTGTGGGTATTTATGAAAAAGAAACACAGTGCTGGTGAAAGGCACTGAATTGTCAGACCTGTGTACCTAGAAATCAGACAGAAGCGTAACAGAACAAAAGTCCTTATTGAAAGAACCTGCAATCTAAAACATTTCTCCTCTGTTGTGCCTACCCTAAAGAAAGATAATCTCTACCAATTACAGTGAGGATTCTAAGATGTAGAAACCTGCCACAAAAAATTGGATTAAACCCCTGCCAAACAATCGTATCATAATTATTTAATCTCAGCAGTCAGGTAGGAGATGACTTTAGAGTCTTGAGCTGAACGGCAGTTTACAGTTGTTTCCTTGTTATCTTAAAAAACTCTTTTATAACTTGTAAAGTAAAATTCTCAATTCTTTAATATTCCTATAGTAATTCCTATTTTTTAAAAACACCAGTATACATCCAGCATTCAATCCAGTGTCAGACTAATGTTACAACATCTGTTTAAAGTTGAAGAAAAAGTAGTTATGCTTTTTTTTTTTTTCTCTTTCTTTCAAATCCCCTGTTTGTTTTTTTCACTGTATTCCCCTAGTTTTTCTAGGAGTCTATCCAGATCATTAACTCACCCCATCTGGTAGTAAACTACCCTTTCTAGCAGATGCTGATTCCCTGATATGAGTTAGGTCTTCTGTTGCAGAGATGCTCTGGTTACCAGTACCGTGAACTGTCTGACTAGTTTTGTGTCTGGATTTGTCATTTTCACTGTGCTGGGATACATGGCTGAGATGAGGAATGAAGATGTATCAGAGGTTGCCAAAGATACTGGTAGGCTAACTTTTTGTACGTATCTCTCAAACCGCTTCTAAGATAGAATATATTTGTATATTATCTTCTAGACTGAGAACAGCCCAAATTATGCAAAATATTTAGTATATAATTCAGGATACTGACTTACTTTATGATAAGGCACTGTTGTACAGCTAAAAATTATTCCATAAAGACAGCATATAGAAGTCATAATGCATGCAGCTTCACAGACATGGTGGTAATTGCACACTGCAAAATAGCCTGGGGGGGAGAAGTTTTCCCCTGGAAGACAACATGGTACAGTGAAACTGCCTGTCCTCCTTCCTCGCAGCAGTAGTGCGCTACCAATTATCCCTAATTCTCTGTTCTAATATCAGGACCCAGCCTTCTCTTCATTACGTATGCTGAGGCCATTGCAAACATGCCTGCTTCCACTTTCTTTGCCATCATCTTTTTCCTGATGTTACTCACGCTGGGATTAGACAGCACGGTGAGTAGACAGCATCCGAGAGAGCGGACCTCTCAGGTATCTGGTGCATGGCCTTACCCCCGCAGACATCAGAAGAAACAGAATTACAAATCTTGCACCGTCACTAAAGGGTTTAAAGCAGGACTGGTATCTCCATGTGCCTTCTGAAAGACAGCAACTATTACTCCAATTTTGACCTAAACAGGCCCAAATAAACTTAAATGATATGCCAGTCTCATACTGTGACAATCAGTAACAGACCTGGAAACACAACGAAAGCCCTTGACTCATAAATTCCTGGTTGAATGCAGCCTTCCAGGCTCCTTCTCCCTTGTAGTTGTAAACTGACAAAGCAATTACTAAATTCTGCAATTTTTTCACACTAATTGGATTTAAAAGGTGAGAACTGGAGATGGTCTCAACAGCACTGCGAAAAGGAGATGTTCTAAAAACTTGCCACGTGAGCCTGTTTTTACAGCCTGAGAATAAGCACCTTCCAGGAAGGCTAAACTTGGCTGATTTCACAATCTTGGTTCTACTGAGCCGCCAACCACTTATCAGCATCCTGTTACTTGTAATATAGTACTTTCTCTGGATGATAAGCACTTCCTACAGATACATGAAGACTAAATCCCCACCTTAAAGGGTTTAAAAGTTCTGAAGAAAGACTGTTTAAACAACAATCACATCAACTCTACAAGCAGAATAAAGCACCAGTGTTTCAATGCTTTAAAGCTCCTTTAAGCATTGAAACATACTTTAAAGCAGGTAAAACTGCCCTGTATTTTCCAGTGATTTTTCCATGCTTTTCAGTTTGCAGGGCTAGAGGGAGTGATTACCGGAGTACTGGATGAATTCCCGCATGTCTGGAGCAAACGCAGGGAATTGTTTGTCCTTGGTCTGACCATCGTTTGCTTTTTGGGGTCATTAGCAACCCTGACATTTGTAAGTATTTTACCCACTCAGCTTTCCTTACTGGCAGTTTCCTGCAAATGACATCTTGGAGAGGGTAGTATTTTTTGAAGAGAGTTTCAAGAAATCAGATTAAACCTGCAACCTGTTTTCTTTATGCATTAGAAATCTATATCTGTAATGAATGTGAACAGTATCTCTTACTAGAAAATGTGTTGCAAAATGATCTATTGCAATTCAGCAAAACTCTTAATGTGCTACACTTCATAAAAGACATCATAAATGACATCATTGCTCCAACTGCTGAATCAGTAAGCAGACAACCTTCCACATTTTGTATGTGGTTTACTTCTTGCTCTCAAAAGCTCCACGTTTAAAATGAATTATTATTTTAATTTTCACAATGTTTGAAATGTATTTTGAATTTTAAAAAGAATGATCAAAAAATCATCTCCTAGAAAACGCTGCAATTTACTGTTGCTGTTCTCCAAAAATTTCTAGCAATTTCCTGGATCATCCTCATCAAATCAGGCCAGAAATCATGAACGGTCGCACCAAATAGTCTCCGTGGGGCTTGCAGGATTTCATTTTCACAACAAGCAACATTTTGAATCATAAGTGTAATGATCATAAGGGACAAGGAAAAATTACTTGGCTTTCCTGTCATGTTTCATTCCACTTGCTCATTTATGTGCAACTTCCTTCTCATTTGAAGCATTTGCTGTAAAAGGAGACTTAGTTCCTCTCCAAGACACAGTGCCCTCCTCCTTCATGATTCTAGATCCCACACGGAAAGAAAGCAAAGTAACACCTTATTTATCTCTGTTCAGTAACTATAACTTAAGTTGGAGAAAGAAGATGCCATCACAGAAGACATGCAAAAAGCCATCCCATCAAATCTCATTTGTTCATTAAAACCCAGCTGCAACTGCCAACAATTCAGTTTTATCTTTTCTGCATGGTAGCCCCACTGGTGAAATATGTGCACAGAGAGTGAGCAGATCAGCAGTAGAGTACGCTCAAGGATTTCACTGGCAGGAACAGCCACAAAGCGACAGAACTGACTGAATTTTCCATCTGTGAATGCCCTGGTCCAGACGAAGGCAATAATGAACAACAGTTTTACAGGATTTCCGTCACTGGTTCTTTGGTTCACTGACAATATGATCTCCTTTCTAGGGAGGTGCGTATGTGGTAAAGCTGTTTGAAGAATACGCCACTGGTCCAGCTGTCCTAACAGTTGTGTTTCTGGAAGCAGTTGCTGTGGCCTGGTTCTACGGTACGTCTACTGCCACATTGACAAACAATGCTAACCCAGACTTCTGAGCTTCTGCAGTGTAGCATTTCCTCTGCTTCTGCAGAGAAGATCACTGATGTCTCTGGAAAAAGTCTGCAAAATCTTTTTTACAAAATCACCGATTACCAAATCTGTGAGAATTATTATTAATTGTTCTATGACAGAAGTACAGTGACATCTAAAAGAAACAAGAGCTACAGTTCAGGATAATTAAGGATTTAATATAATTAAGAGTTATAGGAACAAAACAAGTCTTTCATGATGGATTCTGAATTTATTTGCTATGCATACAAAATGCTGTGCATCTACTTAGAAAAAACTTATCTGCTGTTGCCACTCTCCTCCCACTTGTCTCCACAGGCATCACCCAGTTTTGCAATGATGTGAAAGAAATGCTAGGCTTTACCCCAGGCTGGTACTGGCGAGTTTGCTGGGTAGCAATTAGTCCCATCTTCCTTCTGGTGAGTTTTCTTTATAGCTTGCTTTTTCCAGCACAAGAAAATTACCATTGAACACTGCAGCTACATAGACTTCTAAAAGCTTAATTACAGAATCTTCTTGTGAAGTTCTTCAGTAACAATTCTTGTTAAACTAAAAAGGCTCAATTAGTGAAAAACCCAATAAAATGCTGCAAGGTCTTGTTACTAAATCACTATAAGGATTTTGTAGATGAGCTAGCTAAATAAGACTGGGTTCTGCATAACTCCCCTCCTTCCCTCTGCTGAACAAAGTTACTATTTACCTGCACAAAATGAAGCAATAAAAGATGATGATGAAACATACTGTCTGGGGAGTAAAACCAAGACAAGTAAATATACTGTCTCAGCAACTGCTGACTGATGACTTTAGAATATTTCACTTAAAATTTACAGCAGTTAATTGCAACCTTTATAAATCTGTAATTCAGAATTGGAAATACTGTCCCAATGTTTGACTTGCTAGTATTATTAATAACATTTTAAAGTAAAGTGTTCATTTCCTGATCCAAAATTAGTTCACACTATCTTTTATTGTTACTAGCCTTAGTGGGAGCAGAGCAGGTCAAGCTGGAATTTATGAAACACAGAATGTAGACTTAAGACCTACAAAGTGAATTCAAAACACTTGTAATAATCAATGCACAATTAATAGATTTTCATTTTATTACTCCTAGAAAAAGGGGGGAAAAAAAGCTCTAAGTAAGTGTGACACCACAAATAATGTTTATACTACCATCCTCTTCGTGATCCTAAAACAGTAAAATAAACAGAGAGGAATACAGCTCTGGTGATGTGGTTACTAGGCAGAGCTATTTGTATTCTCTGTGGAAAGTAAACTAAAAAATAAAGCAAGCCCAGAAGGTAGTATGTTATTTCTGTATGGAAATGTTTCTGGTAATCCTGATCTTCTGATGATACTCTGGAAAAAATGGAGTCAGAGATCCTTCCAACGATAGTCACAAATATTACTCCTGTAGTATTCAACTAAAAGTATTTGTTCTTTCACAAGAAATTTTTCAGTCATGAAGGATATGCACAGGAAAATGATCTGACAGCATTAATCGAGCTGACGACAGAATACTATATCCAACTAGTATTAACATTTGTCAAAGCTACTGAAGATCCAAAATGCTATGGAAAAATATCACAGAAAAGATAAAATTTGTAGAAAATAAGTAACAGTGAAAAAACAGAATCTGTATAGCTTATCACAGAGAAAGCTGAAAGCTGATGCGATTACCACAGGTTAAGTTCTTTAACTGTATTTGAAAGAGTATTAAAAGGGTCTACAACCCAATAAAGAACAGCATAAAACAACAACATAGCAGCTGCAAGTTAAATTCAGACAAAGCAAAACTGACATTGATCGTGATTAAATACAGGACAAGTAGCTAAGGGAAACTGTACACTTCCCATTTCTGGTGGCTTAAAATTAAGATGATGCCTTTCTGGAAGGGGTGCTTTAGCTGCAATCAAGTTATAGGGCTCAATACAAGCGTAACTGGATGAAATGCTGCACACTGGTACCAATCAATCTGATTTTGTCCATCTAACATCTTTCTATCCTTTAAATGTACAAGCGTGGTCCTGAGTTTTCTCCCTTAATGCTTCTTAAGCAAGAAACACCACAATGTGTATTTATGGAATAAGCAATCCATAGGAGAATTTTTACCTAGTTCCTTTCAGTTACTGGTTGGGCTATACTCTAAAGCTCCTAAGCTCTTTTAAACTTCCTGAAGGAAAGTCTCGATATCCAAAAGTGGTTTGAGGGGTTTTTTTGGTTATGTTTTTTTTTTTTAAATCCATACTAATGTCATTTAGGATTTTTTCAGCGTTGACATATGTTTAATCCCTGAGTCCTACTCATTTTTTTTTTTTTTTTAGTTCAATGCTATGCTGGGACACAGTTCCCTGAAGTAAATTTGTGCCATCAAAATACATGTATTCATACTTTGTTATCTTATTTTTCAGTTTGTCACTTGCAGCTTTCTGTCCAATCCTCCTGAGCTACGGCTTTTTGATTATAATTATCCCTACTGGACTACAGTAGTGGGTTACTGCATAGGAACTTCTTCAGTCATGTGTATTCCGATCTACATGGTTTATCGGTTGATCATCACTCCAGGAACACTTAAGGAGGTATCCATGATGCTCTCTTGCTTCTATTTGACTGTTGGGAAGGAGGTGATTCCTAGAAACATTGCCTGTAGATTTTTCTGGGGTCCGATGCCCCAGGACTTGAGGATTATTGCTGTTCTGTTCCTAGCCAGCTGATCACTAATTGTCTTCTGCCCATTCTGAGCAATTCACAAATCTCCCCAGGTCTTACTGAGGCCATTGACGTATTCATATAAAAATTAGATCAAGTATTTCTTTTTAAGCTCTGGTGAACTGGAGGCTTTTCCTAGAAATCACACAAGACACAGTATCATGTGAATGAGGCAGTGAAAAATTGGTTCCTTTGGATATGTCTGTAAGAACAGGTTTCTTTTTCTCTCCCACACTTAGTAAGATTTCTCTGCCATAAATTTGTGGCAGCCTGTGATGACATTTTTGGGCTTTCTTGTAAGTGCACATAAATACCAGTTCAGAAACAATACGTTCAGTTGACTCAGGTATCCAAGTAAGCTGCAAAGTCCTAAAGCATTAATACAACATCTGTCAAACTTTGATTCAAATTGTATGTTACAAATAATTAAAAAATAATGCTGTGCACTTCTATAGCACCTTACATCTTCATAGTGCTGAGGTAACAGAAGCCTGAAACATCCTTGTGTTGTAGTTCAAGAGGTGTAACTCAAACTAAAGTCACATTTTTATTACGAATCTCTTTCCAAATGGCTGTCATGTTAACATATTACTTCTAAAATGAATCAATTTCTAATACTGATTTCTTTCCAACAGCGTGTTCTGAAAAGCATTACTCCAGAAACAGCTACAGAAATTCCTTTTGGAGACATCCGCATGAATGCAGTATAAGCTGACCTGTTTTCTGGGGGGAAGAGAGGGAGAGCATAAAACATAACTTTCCCCACACTCTCCCACCCAAAGAATTACGTTTCCAGCTGAGACAACAAAGGGAGGAGTTTTCTGTGGACGTTGCATCACTGACAACAGGCATTTGGAAACATGATGCCTCCAGCACATTTATCCAAGCAATTCAATGAAATCTACTGTGCACTTCTAACCAGACTGAACTGACTGAGAACTAACTCATTCTGGAAACATGAGGATGGCTGTGTGCATGAGAATACCACTACTCCATGCACGGGCACTGGGGCTGTTTGAAAGTGTGCGTGATTGCACAAGCCACTATAGGACGAGTATCAGCGGGTAGGACTAGGTGTAGAATCCCAAGTCTGTGGCAGTACTCCTGTATCTTCCTCAATGTGATTGTTCGTACTGGGCAATGTCATATTCGCTTCTAAGGTTCTAATTGCTTAAACTACATTGAAAAACACAAAAATATTTCTGATAGCCATAGATTACTCAAGTAACACAGGGTTTTATAAACTAGAAAAAAAATTAGTAAATTCCCTAGGTTTGTAGTGGAGTAGACAGAGGAAGAGGAAACAATCCTGAGCAGCACTATATAAAGCTCTGCATACATTAGCACACATATCTGGTAGCATTATCCTCCCCTTCCTGTATTTTGTAGTTGGTAACAGTTTCTATTGTTTCTTGCATAACAAATACTACAAAAGCATTTTTTGTAATGTAGTAGCCTTCACTTTCCTTTAGACCCAATTAAGCTGTAAAAACTCATCATGGGTTACTTAACAAGAACCTAAGTTGCTAGCACATACCATACTGTTTTCATAACTAATCTAAATATTCACAAAATCATTGTCCTGACAGACCTAACACACGTAAAGAAACTACAGACCAACAATGAATTTTTGAGTTCCGATGCCAAGAAGCGGAATCTTAAAAATCTGCTTCTCTGCTTTTTGGTTTTTTTATTTAAATTTAAGTTCATGCCTAAAATTTGCTGGAGCCTGTGACTTTTTCTATTCTTTCCTAGTACAGAACTAAAGTTTAGAATAATCCTTTTGGCTGGTTGACAAATGTACATTTAACAAACTATAAAAACCTACTTTGAAGATTTATTAGCTCATATTCTAATGTGAGCACATTTGGTTTTCACCCTGAAGAAGAAGAGGGGAAATTTTATTCTAACAAGAAGTTGAGTGGAGTTCAGCAGGACTGATTCTCATTAAATTTCAAGGCACTGATATACAAATGAACTTCCGTGCACACACTAACCTCTTTATATTATATGCATACACATGCTCTCCAAATGTAACTGCCCTTCAGACTGACTGCAGTTGTCAAGTCAGCTGGAGGAATAGTTCTGCTGCAGTTATGTGGAAGTTCAGATAAACCTAAGTAGGCGTAATTTATGTAAGAACTTGCATTGTATTTTTACTCTACCACATCATAGATTATAACAGAAGTAAAATAAAATAGAGGATAGAAGTCTCTTTTGTATCTCCTGGTCTACGTAGGTAATGTACTGCTAAAATTAACAAGGTTATATATGCATTCATAGCAGCAGGCATTAAGAAACCTGTTGAAGAGTCTACATCAGTATGAAGAACTTACCATATTAGAGGAAAGCAGTGACGGTGCATTTGCCTTTTGAAATCACTTCAGCCAAGGTTTTTCTCCCTTAGGTGTGCAGACACCTCCTGGAGGAAGGCCTCTTACACTTCAGCTATTGACTTGAGTTCACTTAACTTTAGGTCTCAAGCCCAGCTTCTAATAAGAAAATAACTTAAAAGGGACAAGGACTGTTCTTTTGAACTACAAACAAAAAGACTCCTGAACTATTTTTAACAAAGGGAATGTTCTTTCATTGCCACTAGAAAAACATAATAAATCTGTCTTACTGGACAGTTACTCACAAGAAATAGTTTTGTAGCTTATCCCTCAAGAACATTTGAGAACTACTTCCAAAACTGGCTTCATTGTAAGGAAAAGAGGAACAGTTTGGGAATTCTTTTAATATTAGAAAGCCACTTAGTTATTAAGTTGCCAATCAGAAAATCACTTTTTTTTTTTAATTAAATTTTCTGTTGTGAGTTCATTAATGAAAAAATACATATGAAATGTCAATGTAAGATTAATGAGGTACTCGTATCTATCCAATATCAAAGTGTGGGAAAAAAAAGGAGAAAACCCTACCCTGCTTCTTCACTCTTCAGACTAGTGTTCAGCTAATGCTAGATATGTTTCCTCCTAAATGGATAAGTATTTAAATAGATAAACCTTACAAATGGATTTTTTTTGCCAGACTTGATAGTGTTTCATGCTAGGCTCATTAAACAAAACAAAAAAGGAAACCCCACACACCCCTCAAACCAACACAAAACTTACAGTTCCAATTTTTGGTCATTTAAGTATAGCCACTTGCAAAAGCCTCTTTAAACAGACATTCTGCTACCTTTTATTGGAAAGGGTGAAGGTGGGGACAGAAATGATTGAGTTAAATATGGCATTATCTGTATCAAAGTCAAAGTTTCTCTTCAGCCCTTGCAAACAAACTGAAACTGAGAACGTTATTTCTAATGGAATAATTTGCAGAGTTATAACTGCAGAAATCACTGCTATTTAGTGTGCAACACTACTGATGTTATTCTTTTATAACAGCATTTGAAATGGCAACAAAAGATGCATCTTTAATTTGTATTCTTTTAAGACACTAATATACAACAGACATTATCTCTCTGGGTAGTTTTAGCACAGAATGCTCAGCAACTTCCCAAGAAATGCCACTGTTTTCTAGTGGATTAAAAGTCAGCCAAGAAGCCCTGATATTAATACAAGCCCTGCAACAGTCACAGTGCAAAACAGGTTAAGGCTTCTCAGCTTGAATTTCTCAGCTGAAAAATGAGAATAATGCACTCGAAGTACAGATGTACTGAGAAAGGGTGAAAGTTTTAAAAATTATTTGAAGATATAAAACATAATGTAGACATGCAAAGTCACAGGAAAAATATTTTTAGAAATAGACTGTCCAGATCATTTGTGATGTTAGATCTTTGCTCTCTTTTCACTAGGATAATCCAGTCCAAGGTCTTTATGGGAACAGGAGGCAAGGAAGCCCTCCAGAAGTGGATTAAAAAGGCTTTTTTCCCCCTGAATAATACAAAGATAAAATACATCCATGTTTTCATTCTATAAAAGCTGAACTTGCAAGGCAGTTCAGTCCTCATTATTTTTTTTGTTACATGGCATGCTGGTTTCAAGTTTTCTAAATCTTCTCATGATAAGTTCATTTTTTAGTACCTCTATTTAGCCAAGTAGTTGAAATATTGAAAAATTTATTTCATTTATTTTTTATCATTGATTCTTTTTTCTTCCTTTTACATATCCATCTGAAAACATTTAGAGTAACCAGTATTTATCAGGTAGCTCAACAAGTAGCCATACATTAAACATTGTTTTTGTAAAAAAGCTAGTTATATTGATACCAAATGGGTTGCACTGCAATTAAAAGTGTTTTGAGGCAAACAAGTACCTTCTCTTCAGCTCACTTTCTGCTTATCTATCACAGGAGTATATCCTACCCTCTATTCTGAATAGTGAAAAGGAAATTATGAAACCAGTAAATTAGGACCATGTTTGCCTTTTAAGCAAAGGGAATTAAACTGGAGTTTAGCTGTACAGAACTAAGTATTCCCTCCAACTTGTACATAATGCACCTGTATTAATTTATGCGGTTGTTTAGTTACAAGTGTTGCAAGCTGATTGTAAGTAAGTCATCAGTATGTGCCTTGTACTGTAAACTGTTATTGTAATAAATTTAAAATTCATAAGCCATCTTTAGACGTCTCTTGTGCCTCTCTCTTACAGGAAGAACAAAGATAAAACTCAATTCCAAGAAAAAGCAGAATATCTAGTCCAGTTTACTACACCAACAAGGCCTCTTTGACAAAAAGCAGAGGATTTCCTTCAGTGTTTGAACCTTGGCCCACTGCTAAATACTCTTTCATTCTACTCCAACAGAAGAACCAATACACATTACATTTGTTTAGACAGAACAGCAAAAACAAACTGATCCACATTTGGAGTTAAGTGCTTAGTTGCTTGATTAGTTTACATATAAAACTCATTCCATTTCAAATCTTTGTACACTGGCAGGCTTGGCATTTAATTTTACTCACATTTTGTCTCATTACTAAATCTGTTGAACAAAATATTAGAGAAACACCAATCTCAAAATCTTTTTTTTAATATTAGTTCACCTTACTGTAGCATAAAAGTGATAAATTTACTACAAAACAAAGCGAAAGAAACCATTATGAAAAGCATTGAAAATGTATTCTAAAAACTACAACCACTATCAGATAGCCTACTTACCAAGTTATAGTTCAGAGATAACTTTATTCTTGATTATGGACCTTTGAACAGACAGACTGACAAATCTAAAATATTACCTCCAGTAGAACAAGCAGGTATGACTGTAGTACATGAAAAGAGACTTATATACCTTATTTCACACAAAAAAGATGCAGTATAATAACACAAGCATTAAAAAAGACGCATGCATTAGATCCAGTATGTATCTTACAGTTTATTTAAGTGTTTCTGTACATCAGGTCCCCAAAACCAAAGCCCACACATAAATACAAAATTCATATATCAATATGCATTTAGCTTACAAAACGCCATACTACGTATAGATTATTATTCAGGCTGTTTTTCTTGCTTTTTTCCCCATTTTTACAGGTCTGTCTGCTTCTCATTTTTGAGAGCATCACTGGGCAACAATGACTCCCACTAAGGTCTGAGAATACCTTTGTTTCAGCAGAGCTCACTGTTTCAGCTGGTGAAAGGAGTAGGGGCTGCCAGGGGAAAGTATTCTCACCTTATGTTGTTTAAAACTTCTAGGTCTGTCCCAGAATCTTCAAGTACCAAGGACAGGGTACTGAAGGCCAGAGTCAGCCAAATTTAGTATTTCAACTGTATAAACAGACTAAGTGTGTGTATGAAGGGATCCATTAATCCATTTCAAAAGTTGTTCTTCTATTATGGCACACACAATTTCTTAAATGAAAGCCAGTAATAAATAGCTAGGATACACTTTTGCTTCTGTACAAGAGTCTGTGCAGCAGTGGCTTTTCCTCTTGGTTGAGAGACCAAGTGTTTTTGTCCACCACAGGGATATTAATCTTCTTCCTTCTCAATGTAAGATTTAGTACTGACACGTGCCATTTGCCTTGCCAAATAGCGGTCCCTTGCTGACATGACTGTCTCTTCATTGCTCCGTTTGGCAAATTTGCTCATGCTCTCAGATGGTTTCTGGGCTTGTTTTTTCTCCTCTTTCTCCCCTTCCTCTCCAGCTTTACGTTTCTGCTCAGACAAAATTCCAGAGATGGATCTTCCCTTCTCATCCGCCTCTCTTTCTTTTCCCTTTCTCTCTTTTCCCAGATCAGTCTCTCCATGTTTTTCTGAAGATGTAGGAGTACTTTCCCTCCTCTCTCTGTATTTCTTTTCATCACTGCCACATTTCTCTCTCCTCTCCCTCACATGATCTTCCTTTTCTCTGCATTTCTCTCCTCTCTCCTTCTCTCTGTCATTATATCTATCTTTACCATTTCTTATTCTTTCTTTCCCTCGTTCCTTTTCTGAACCCTTCTCTTCTCTGTCCTTTGCCTTCCTCCATTCTCTGCCACGTCCCTCCCTCTCTCTTCTTTCCTTCCCCCTTTGTTTATCGTCTTGCTCTTCCCTCCTTCTGTAGTTATCTTTATTAGTGTGATCCCCGTATCTATGTCGCTCTTCCTTTTCCCTTTGGTGATCCTTTTCATGGGTCTTACTTCTCTCATAATCTTTTTCCCTGTACTGTTCATCATTTCCCCTTCTGCTTGGTCTGCTCTCTCCCCTCTTTGTAAGATGGGCTTTTGTGTGCAGCTCTTCCTCCACACTGGATGAGCTTGGTGACCTGGAACACCTCTGGCTCTCGTGACGTTTAGCCTCCTCTTCACTGCTCACAGAGCTCTCTCTCCTTTTCTTCTTTTTCAAATTTACTTTACTATTTTTATGTCTCTTATCATCATCACTACTATCAGTTCCTAAGTCAGTATCAGCATCTGGATTACTTTCTTTCTTAGTAGAGGGCTTCAGTTGTTGTCTTTCATATGGGCATTTGTTCCTTTGGTTGGATTCATCATAACAACTGTCAGATTTTTCTTCCTTTATCCTACAT